TTACATTAAAGAAAGTTAAAGACTATGGGGCCAAGATTTGAATATTTGGAACATATTCGCACTTTTAGCAAAGGTTAGGAACTTCTTTAGCAATTTTCCCTTACTTTCACCAACCAAGAAACCATTGTTAACTTTAGTGACTATATGGGAAAGAGAATAATTTAATGACCATTCCGAATTTTCTCACATACTTCAGTGACAATTAGTGAAATTATTATAAACTATAAAAAACAATGATCTGAGCTTATTCCTTTCACTTCAATTATTTTAAATGTGTCCTATATTTGGTGATGCACGAACTTGAAAGGACTTCCGCAAGGAAATAAAGCAAGTGAAATACCTCTTGTAACCGAGTTCCATCCACTGTGTTGAAAATTCTTATCAAAGTGCCTCTTATGCTGGCAGTTGCAAGAAGAAGTCCATCAATTGTCAAGGTCATGGAAGCTATCTGAGAGTCATGGGCATTGATAAATTTTGTCATATTCAGGCCAAAATGTTCAACCCTGACCTGTCCTCGTCGTAGACCAGGGCAGGCCAACACAGATGTATTCAAGTGGTGCGAGAGGCAACAAAGTCCCCTGGGGTTTGCCAGAGTCTCTATTTGTTGAAGAAGCTTCAAATCCGTAAACTTGTAAACATATATCTTGTGTTCAACGATGATAACAACACGATCCTTTCTTAGTTTAACTGCACGAACCTCAGATCTAAATGAGAACTCACCAATGCACCGACTCTGATGATCATCCCATATAATAACTTTGTTTGGAGGATACTGGGCATTGGTTTTACTTCCAACAAGTGCTAAAATATTGCATCTGAACAGCATCTCAACAATCTTAAATCCACCGCTTTTTAGATCTCGCCTGAAGATCTCTTTGAAACGATCACAGTTATATATGCGAAAACCGTGGCTTGTACCAGCAGCAAAGAAACTGTAATCCTGATTCCAAGACACAGAATACAACTCAGTTTCTTCATTTTCATTGAGCTCTGGTACTGAATGGACAAAAGATGCTGAAGGCCCAGCAACGGATGATTCATAAACACCAAATCCTGCTGGTGGAAGTACCCCTTGAGATGTTGAAACAGATGAAGTCATGGGAAACGATTGAATAGTCATCAGAACTGGAGCAACCCAACAAAGTTCAAGTTAAAGATGGAAGATGACTGGGCTATCAGCAAGAGATTGGATGCATCTGCAGAATACAATTTCTACATTTTAATTGATTTTTTTTCTAAGTTGACTTCAAAAAATCTATACATCATAAATTCTTTAGCTTCTTACGAATCTTACCCATTTCCATGAATATCAAAACAAGAAACAACAGCATCTAACATATATACATTATGAATTCTTTAGCTTCTTACACATTTCTATGAATATGATATGAAATCAAGAATAACAGCACCTGCCAGAATGTTTCTTGAAGCCATTCTGCAAGTTTGAAGTCACCAAACCACAGTCGAGAAATTCATTTAAGCACCATAGTTAACAAGAATTCAAGTCTATCAATTTCAGCAATGTCATCCAAGGTTCTTTTACTATCCAAACATCAACATGAAATGCTAATCCAATAATTCCAATATCGAATTCCCTATTAAGTTCTAAGCATTTTGGAGGTGGTATAACATTTATAATAAAACCAGATGATAAAGATTAAGAAAAATACACAAAATAAGAATAATTGGATCCCAAAAAACAGCATCGCAATCCCTCATATTTGGTGATAAAAAATCAATATCAAATCACCACAATCAAACTATAAACACAAAATAATCAATAACTACTTAATGAGTTTCGATGCTTATGTAATTCTCTAAATTGTACACGCTACCCATTATTTAACATAATATCATTCACTTATTCTAGATCCAAGAAACGCTTACATTTTTATCCATAGTCCCAACTAATATTCAAGCACCGGTCATCTTTCGGTAATTTGGCCCACTAAATCCCTTTTCATTTATGTCACAACCAACACAAAATCTCAAAACCTGAACACAGTTATAGGGTATATGTGTGCGCGTATATAGTGTTATTGTTATACATAGGAAGGGTGTGGTACTTCACCTGCAGGTGCCGACTGTAAACTTCCATGGAGTGCCTCAGGTTTTACAAATTCTGAAGAGATTCAGAAAAAGGATATCTTTTTCATCGATATAGAGAGAGACTGAAATGGAACGTCATAACAGAGATCTGAAGTTAAATCGACTTACATATTTGGGATATTCATACCGGATTTAAAGCTTAAATATTTTGATTTTTCATAATTTAATGTTTTTCTTATATCTATGTAATAAATAGATAATCATTGGAGCAAACAATGATTTTGACAATATTGTTGACTACATGCCACGTGTCATATTATTATTGAACAATTCTAATAACAATTTATCTTTTCAACTAACAATTTTTTGTCACAATCAACATTGCCAACAATATTGTACAAATAGATTAATTCTAATAATAATGTCTTTATTTACTCCCTCCGTCCCAAGGTTAGGTTTCATTTTTCTCGTCCAAATATATAGGCATATTTCCTAATTTAGGCTCTCGTTTGTTTTTTATTATTTTTTCATTAAAATGAAAAATATGATCGTTATACATCGTATCAAACCATCAAATTTGAATTTTTATCTCTTGTGTGGGGTCCGTAACGACTATATTTTTCATTCTCATTCTTCCAAAAATGATAAACAAACGGTGCTTAGAATACTTTGTTTTGTTCATTTATCAATATACCTTTTTTCAATTTTTTCCATTTAATATGTAAACTTTTTGAAATCATCCAAACACAAACATTTCCCCTTCTTGGAAACATGAACCAACTCGTTTGTTCTCCTTCAAATAAAATCATTCAAATTCCTTACTGATTCCAATAATAATTTACTACTGTATACTGAAAATTAAATAGAGGTAAATTATAAAAGATCTTGACAAAAATTAATTTTCCAATGACATTAAAGAAATACGTGTGAAAAACGAAACAAACCTATATAATTGAATCGAAGGGAGTATCTTTTTTTGAAACATAAATTTACTAGTTTCTAAAATTATATAAATTAGTATCTATGTTAGGCTTGGGCTTCGAATGTTCAATCCAGCTTGGGTGTCGAATGCTCAGTCCGACCATTTCCATACTCGGAATCAGTGTTATTGAATCAAACTCGCCCAGAATCAAACTCGACCAGATCAATCTGGCCGAAAAATTGACAACTCGAGCCCTTGGCTGGGCCGAGCAAGACAATTTGGTCTGAATGTAAGTGACCCAATTTCTATCAGGTCAGTATTTCTAAGTAAAATGAATTGTTCCTAGCCATTGGAGCACACAATGGTGTTACTTTCACACAAGGGATAGTTACATTACTACAAAAGTTCTAAGTTACAATTTCAAAATTAACAAATTTGTTAAATTCTTTCAAAAATCAGGTGGTATTAATTAAATAAATAATTAAATAGGTTATGTTCATAATAGCATATAATTTATAATCATAGATACATACTAATCACAATTATAGAACGTCAAAATCATAATTTTACAAGTCACAACTTATTTATTGATCATAGCTGATCAAATTAAATAGTTGATTTATTTTTCGATCACAAATCATTGATTTGATATGTCACAACTTATTTATCGATCGCAAACTATCTATTTATTTTGTCATAGGTTATTTATCGATTGCATATTATAAAATTAATTGATCACAACATAGTTATTGATCATAAATTATCAAACTAATTGATCACAATTTATTTATCAGTCATATATTAACAAATTAACTAGTCACGTCAACCCAATTAATTGGTCACAAATTATTCTTCATCTACCCCACATCACCCTAGCCGCACTCCTTTACCATCGCCACCCACAGATCCACAAACCACACCCACTATAACCATCGATGCCTCCAACAACAACCACCACCGACACCACAACCATCGCCACCTTCGCAACCACACCACCTCAACAGCCTATACCAATAACCAATATCATCAAGAGCCGCACATTGGCACATTGCAACAGTGCTCGTGCAGCTTATAACAGTGATGACGAGCGTCCCTATCATAGTGATGAGAAATAAGGAAAGCAACAACTGGAGAAAAAGAATGACAGCAGTGCTCAGCAGCAATTGGCATCTCTACTACCAAGGGAGAAGAATGAAACTGCAGCAGCCATAGGAGAATGACCTTTGTTTTGGGTGGAAATGGGTTTAGGTTAGGGTGGGTTGGGGTGGGGTGGGGTGTACACTTGATTTTTGAAAGAAAAAGAATATACACACACATAGTCCAATAATTTACTTTTGTTTATAAACTTACGACATATTGAAAGATTAATTTTAATTAAGATGTATTGCATGTTTAACAGTTGTATAATTAAAAAACATGTAAATAATTGGGTAATATTACATGTATATAATAGTGTACACACGAGTTTACACTCATCAAGTGGAGGGGGCCACACACACACACACAAAAATATATATGGGACCCCCTTCATGTGAGGGTGAAACTCGCGTGTACATCTCGAGGCGTACACGAAGTATTATTCTAAATAATTAGTAACAAATGATTTAAAATCTTTAATCTTATCTTAAAGAAAATATTTTATACTTATAATTTTAATATATGGTCCGACCAATAACCTGAGATCTAATATCTCGATCTGATTGATGTCCAGATTGAATCTAATAACTACGCTCAAAATCACTAATTATAATTAAATATTTCGTAAACTAAATCATTTGGATCCACATAATAATTGTAATCGAACCTGAATCCGAACCTTTAATTTCGTTACGGTTCTCACTGATAACATTTTTTTTTTTAATTGTGAACGAATAACACAAATTATCTGCTCAATATCTAGTAAAAAAAAGGGGGTACATATTTCACACTTTCTTAATTGACTACAAGTATGCACTCAAATAATATCCAATATCTAATAAAGTATGTCACCAAATAGCATCCAAAAACTTAGCGTAACATAACCACCAAATTTCATACTATCAAAATTTTGAAATCAGCCCCCACGAGCACGGCGCAGTGGTAAAACAGGTTGATTCTCTAAGGAACATCGAATGTTCAAATAATCGCGGTAGCTGAAAGGCAGATATCCTGTGGAAGCAAAGTTATGTGCACTTTGTCATCTGTTCGCACGTCGTAAAGGGAGGTCCACATGGAGGAAAATCGCATCCCGAATGTCTAGCCCAAATATATATAAACTGTGATTAAATTTAAATTTACCCGAGTGTCAAACCAAGGAGAAAAGCTGACACTCCTCAGGATTAGTCGGTCGAAACTCAGATATTTGAGTCATAAAAAAACATTTGAAATCAACAATAAGTAGTAGACTCTGAAAATGTAAAAAACTACATGAATGAATCCATTTCTCTTAAAAACTGTTTAACAATTAACATTGCGGATCTTCTTTTCGTTCCATTGTTTTCTTTACATCTCATCAGGTAATTGTATCAGAGTGAATAAATTGTAAAAAATAAACTACTTATAAAAGGACAAATTCTTTTTCGAAGTCGATTCCAATTCAAGAATCAAATATCATTCTAGACCAGTCAATTTTCAATTTTTGATTCCGATTTCTACTTTTCTGAAACCTTCGATTCCTATTATAATGTCTACCCTAATTTATATCCAAAGTATAAAAATTGTTGGAGTATCGAAGAAAAGTATCCTATTTAATAATGAGTTAATAAATCAATTGAAACATATGGTATGAAGGTAGTGATGATTAATAACAATAATTACTTAAAAATTTTAAAAAATAAAAATATATATTATAAAATTTCTGCAAACTGTACACATGCACTAGTAAATCCTGAAAAATTGAATTTAACAATCAATTTTATACTAAGGTTTGATATGAATATGATCCAGTGAAGAATTAAAATTGAGATATAAAGTGTAAACATAATTAGATTGAGAAATCGATAAGTTTATAGAAAGAAAAAAAGCAATCAAATAACAGGGAATAGAGGGAAAAAGATACAATCATTTCTTTTACATTATATTTGATATTGTGCTGCGCGGTGACACATGATTAGACATAAAAAAATAAAAAATTTAAAAAATACTTTCCCGTCAACAATTTTTGAATTCCCACAATGTAACTCATGAAGCGTGCACAAAAAGGTAAGGTGAAAAATGGTACCTACAAAGTTATAGTTTTAAATTTTGATAAATCAGGCACAATCACCAAATTTGGATAAATCCAGGATTTTTAATCATTCTGGAAATTCATTAAGAAGATGAATTAATTAACTATAATATTGATTGAAAATTATGATTTTTGGCTAACGACAAACTCTCTCTCTTTAGTCCAAGAACTTAAAATATTGCTCAAATAAACTTTCCATTTATATCACAACTTTAATGATCTTATTTGTCTTCAACATGCCATTATTAAATTTGTCCCATGTTGTGATTTAAGAAATGAGACTTCGATTTAGTAGCAAAATGTGTATGACAATTTTAATAATGGGCTTTTATTGTGACGTTTTTAATGTGAAAAAACAGCCAAATTTCTCTCCCTAGGCCAAGAGTTTCATAAAGCTATTTCCAATTCAAATTCAAAAATAAAAGAGGTTTTCTAATCCACTAAATAAGTGGTGTACAGAGTACTTATGAATCTACTGAAATGTGTTTTTGAAAATAGAGATTGAACTGTTTATAATGTTAACAAGATACATCAATAGCCACTAAAAATCGAGCCTCCCTCTTTGCAAGCATGACTTGCTACCACTTGAAATAAGGACCATCATTATGAATAAAGCTATTTAGTTAGATTGAAAAACAGGAAGTAAAGAGACGAATTAATGTGTCATAAAATGACGGACATTTTGTTTTAATTGTTCAAACTGCGCAATCATGTTTCGACCCGTTTTTCATTTGAATTTGAGTCTGGATGTGTAGCATGATTGTATCATTATATGCCTGTCAATTTGAAAATTGGCATGACAAATCTCAGGAAAAACAATAAATTGAGAAGAAAAACTGGTTGAATATTTGTTCGAAATAGTTGGTTTTTCTCGACTCGACTAGAGACTTCCCTCTAAAGGCAAGAAAGTACAAAATCCACCTATGTATTATTACATGAAATCCCACCTGCCACCGATGCCAACGAGGTTGGTGTTTGGTATGCCAAAATCTTCCCTCCAACGAACTATAGATTTCACCATCAACTGCACTCATCCATTAAAATTTGATGGAAGCAGCAAACAAACGCACATGCACCCGACA